ATAAACCTAGCACTTTGGGAGGCCGAGGTGGGTGGATTACCTGAGGTCAGGAGTTCAAGACCAGCCTGGCCATAATGGTGAAACCCCATCTTTAAAAGAAAAAAAGAAAGAAACATGTTAGGCGGCCGGGCTCAGTGGCTCACGCTGTAATCCAAGCACTTTGGAGGCCAAGGCAGGCGGATCACCTGAGGTCGGGAGTTCAAGACCAGCCTGACCAACATGGTGAAACCCCGTCTTCAAAAAAAGAAAAAAAGAAAGAAACTTGTTAGGCAATATATGGACCTTGTTTGGATCCTGATTCTGATTCTAAAATGACATTATGAGACACCAGGAAAATTTGAGCACTGACTAGATATTTGATGGCATTAACAACTTAAACATATGTACTGAAGTACTTACAGATTAAATACCAGATCTAGAATCTGCTTTACATGGTTTAGGGAGCAAAGGTCTTTGGGTTTAGATGAAGCGAGATTGGCAAACTAAATTATTGACATGAGTATACAGGTTTGTTATTTGCTCTATTTTGTTTGAAACTTTCATAAAGAAAAGATTAATTGTAAGAAAATATTAGTTGTTAAACATAGGTGATGGGTAGCATCTTTCATAACAAAAAAATTAGAAGAAAAATTAATTGTATTCTATAGTGACAAATTTTTAAATACCAATCTATTTTCATCAGCCCTCAAGATGAGACACAGATCACGAATTACCAACCAGAAGACCATCTTGAAGAAAATACAAAGAACAATGTTGACGAACAGGAAGAAACTGTTATTTCTTACGAATCAACTCCTGAGGTTTCTAGAGGAAATCAAACAATGGCAGGTAGATATTATACATTTCATAATTTTCTCCCTGGTGCTTCCTGTGAACTTCTTAATTTATTTTCCATGGGGAGATTCTAAGAAAGGAACCACTTAAGTACCTTGACTACAGATTAGTCAACATTTGCCTTCCCAAATGTACCTTCAGGAGGCGTGTAGCCCCTGCCACAGAGTCTACCCTGGCAGAGAGATAAGCACATTGGTTTTGTTTTTGCCTTTTGCTTTCAATTTTAGCACATAAAGTAAACTTTTTCTAATAAGGAAATCTTTGAATACTTACAAAATCTGTTCCCAGGGCTAGATTCTCAGAGTATTCACAAACCTGCCACATTGGGAACTGTGGAGGATTTAATATCTAAACTAATAGAATGGGTTTGTTTACTCCAGCCTTTCTATAATCCATATCTGGCTGTTCCTTTAATTGTAGAAAGTCATTATCCATGTCATGCTTAAAAACCAAGGCCGGGCGCAGTGGTTCACGCCTGTAATCCCAGCACTTTTCGAGGCCGAGGTGGGTGGATCACCTGAGGGGTCGGAGTTGGAGACAAACCTAGCCAACATGGTGAAACCTCATCCCTACTAAAAATACAAAAATGAGCCAGGTGTGGTGGTGTGTGCCTGTAATCAGAGCTACTTGGGAGGCTGAGGCAGGAGAATCAGTAGAACCGGGGAGGTGGAGGTTGCCAAGATCGAGCCATTGCACTCCACCCTGGATGACCAAGCGAGACTGCCTCAAAAAAAATTTTTTTTGTTCTGTGCTGTTCTCTCATATTTTTTGGACTCTTCACAAACCTTTTCTTCTCACCCTGTCACCCAGGCTGGAGTGCAGGGGTACAATCTTGGCTCAGTGCAACCTCCACCTCCCCGGTTCAAGGGATTCTCCTGCCTCAACCTCCCAAGTAGCTGGGATTACAGGCATGTGCCACCATGCCTAGCTAATTTTGTTTTGTTTTGTTTTGTTTTTTTATCCTGGTCTCCATGCACACACACCTATTTTTTGTATTTTTTGTAGAGATGGGGTTTCACTACGTTGGCCAGGGTGGTCTGGAATTCCTGACCTCAAGTGATCAGCCTGTCTTGGCCTCCCAAAGTGCTGGATTACAGGTGTAAGCCACTGCGCCTGCCCCTTTCATTCGTTTTCTTTATGATTTTTGGGGGGTAGGGATGGGAATTACTGCGTATTATTAGCTTTGCTTTTTTGGGTTTTTTTTTTGTTTTATTGAGACGGAGTTTTGCTCTTTGGTGTGATCTCAGCTCACTGCACCGCCACGCCCAACATTTAAGCAATTCTCCTGCCTCAGCCTCCATAGTAGCTGAGATTATAGGTGCCCAACACCACGCCCAGCTAATTTTTGTATTTTTAGTAGAGACAGGGTCTCGCCATGTTGGCCAGGCTGGTCTTGAACTCCTGAACTCGGGTGATCCACCCGCCTCTGCCTCCCAAAGTGCTAGGATTACAGGCATGAGCTACCACACCCAGCCAGCTCTGCTTCTTGTAGTCCATAAGTGAAAAAACCATTCCTATGAAACCCCACCACCACTCCTGCCCTTTTGCAGAAGAGTAAGAACAATGAAATTCCAACATTCAGGACTATTCTTCTTAGGAAAAACATGTTCGGGATAGAACATCTTCAGTACCTATATAAATATAACATGTTTATGTTATATAAATTTAAATAAAATAAATTTTATTAACATAAATTTATAATTTATTTTAATCAGCCATATTCCCTTATAACAAATACTAAACACTGCCTTTGCCTTTGCCTCTATCACTTACAAGGCAGTATGAGCCAGGCACAGTGGTTCACGTGTATAATCTCAGCACTTTGGGAGGCTAAGGCAGGAGTATTACTTAAGCTCAGGGGTTCAAGACCAGCCTAGGCAACATAACAAGACATTTCTACTAAAAATGATAATTTTCAAAATTTAGCCATGCAGGGTGGCACTCAACTATAGACCTAGCTTCTCAGGAGGCTGAGGTGGAGGATGGCTTGAGTCCAGGAGGTCGAGATTACAATGAGCTCTGTGATTGCACCACTGCTCTCCAGCCTGGGCAACAGAGCAAGACCCTGTGTCAAAGAATAAATAAATAAGGCAGTATGCACAGGAGATCTCACTTAAAAAAAAAATTGACACTGGCCAGTTTTGGTTATTATGCAGAAGGTCTGGATCAAAGTGGTATGATAGTATTAAAAACACAGCATTTAAATCTTCTGTAGTATTTAGCTGCATAGAACTAGAAATGTTCCAAAAGAAAATTAACCTCAAAGCAAAAAAAAAAAAAATTGTAAGGTAGGGTTTTTTTTTGTTTTTTGGGTTTTTATTTTTTTATTTTTATTTTTTTGAGACAAAGTCACCCAGGCTAGAGTACAGTGGTGCAATCTCAGCTCATTGTAGCCTCTTGCTCCCGAGTTCAAGCACTTCTGCCATGGCCTCCTGAGTGGCTAAGACTACAGGCATCAGCTACCATGTCTGACTAATTTTTGTATTTTTAGTGGAGTCGGGGTTTCACCATTGTTGGCCAGGCTGGTCTCGAACTTCTGACCTCAAATGATCTACCCGCCTCAGCCTCCCAAATTGCTGGGATTATAGCCATGAGCCACCATACCAGGCCCCAAAAAAAATTTTTTTTAATAGTCTTCAGGAAACATTTTATACTGAATATTTAGTTTGCAGATTAGAAAATAACAGGCTGAGGCCGGGTGTGGTGGCTCACGCCTGTAATCCAAGCACTTTGGAGGCCAAGGCAGGTGGATCACCTGAGGTCGGGAGTTCAAGACCAGCCTGACCAACATGATGAAACCCCGTCTTAAAGAAAGAAAGAAAGAGAGAGAGAGAGAGAGAGAGAGAGAAGAAAAGAAAGAAAGAAAGCTCATGCCTGTAATCAAGATGGGAGGATCGCATGATGCCAGGAGTTCAAGACCAGCCTGGTCGACATAGCAAGACCCCCATCTTGATTAATAAAAAACTTTTTAATTTGTTTTTTTGTTTTTTGAGACGGAGTTTCGCTCTTGTTACCCAGGCTGGAGTGCAATGGCGCGATCTCGGCTCACCACAACCTCCGTCTCCTGGGTTCAGGCAGTTCTCCTGCCTCAGCCTCCTGAGTAGCTGGGATTACAGGCACGCGCCACCATGCCCAGCTAATGTTTTGTATTTTTAGTAGAGACGGGGTTTCACCATGTTGACCAGGATGGTCTCGATCTCTTGACCTAGTGATCTACCCGTCTCGGCCTCCCAAAGTGCTGGGATTATAGGCATGAGCCACCACTCCCGGCCTTGTTTTTAATTATTTATAAAGAAAAAGAAAATCACAATAGAACCAAATGCATCTATTACTTCCTTCTCAAAACATGTTCTAATTTTTGTGGGATTACAGCATCAGAATTTCCTTCTCGAAATGCGTCTTAAAGATTTTTATCTTCTCGCATTTTCTTTGTGTGTTTTAGTGAAAAGTCTTTCCCCATCTCCTGAGTCCTCGGCATCGCCTGTTCCATCCACTCAGCCACAGCTCACAGAAGGATCACATTTCATGTGTGTGTAGTCTCGGAAGAAGTACGTCATTTCCCTTTGCATTTGTGCTTTAGAGTTTTTTACTTGAATTTCATTATTCATCTGTTGGCTTAGTGAATCAAAACTGGGATTAGTTCTGGGCTGTACATAGGGATAGCTGGCAGAACAAGTAGGTCACATCTTGGAAATCAGGGTCAGATTTCTAACATTGGCCCTTCCAGTGATTGCTGTGTGACAGCATTTTCTTTGTCTCTTATTTCATCATCCACAAAAACAACAAAATTTGGAGGGCATGGCCTGTGCCAAGACTTGCAGTGTTTTGCAGCTGTTCTTCTACTTAATGTTGCTTTCCATAGCCTGACCTGAGAATTCTGTTTAAGTGATTACAGGTTGATTATGTAACGTTTTTTACAGTTTGTGTGACATGTCTGCCCATTGGGAATTTGCTAATTATTGTAAATGACAATGAAATGTTTATGGTACAGCCAACTTGATGGAATATTAAAATCTTTAATGTCTATCTGATATTATTTCTAAGTAACTGAATTTTATTAAGTCAGGGAGGTAGTTATTAAAACCATGGATGGGATCAGGGAGAAGGAGGAATCCTTTCTTGAACAGTGTTCCGTAGACCACAGATGTATAATTGAGGATAATTTCCTGAATTCTTTTTTTTTTAAAAGACAGGGTTTCACCATGTTGGTCAGGCTGGTCTTGAACTCCCGACCTCATGTGATCTGCCCGCCTTGGCCTCCAAAGTGCTTGGATTATGGGCGTGAGCTACCACGCCCAGCCTAATTTCCTAAAATCTTTTAAACTTTATAGACAGTGGGGCATGGTGGCTCACACCTGTAATCCAAGCACTCTGGAGGCCAAGGCGGTGGATCACCTGAGGTCGGGAGTTCAAGACCAGCCTTACCAACATGGTGAAAACTCGTCTTAAAAAAAATAATAAAAATAGCCGGGTGCGGTGGCTCAAGCCTGTAATCCCAGCACTTTGGGAGGCCGAGGCGGGTGGATCACGAGGTCAAGAGATCGAGACCATCCTGGTCAACATGGTGAAACCCCGTCTCTATTAAAAATACAAAAAATTAGCTGGGCATGGTGGTGCGTGCCTGTAATCCCAGCTACTCAGGAGGCTGAGGCAGGAGAATTGCCTGAACCCAGGAGGTGGAGGTTGCGGTGAGCCGAGATCGCGCCATTGCACTCCAGCCTGGGTAACATGAGTGAAACTCCGTCTCAAAAAAAATGATAATAATAATAATAATAATAATAATAAAAATAATAAACTTTGTGGACAATTGCTAATTTTAACGTACAATGTAGTACTTATAGAGAACTCTAAAAGTTTTTTAACTTTTTATAAAAGCTTGTATAGAGTAAGAATGTTATGCCTTTTTCTGCATTTTCTTTCTCACAGCATCTACCATATCTAATAAAGTTTGATGCTTTAGGATTACCACCAATTTCTGTTGAACAATTATAAACAGCAAAAACAGAGAGAGAGACATTATAAGCATTAGCACTAACATCGTTTTATTTTTCTTATTTCATTTTACTTTTTATGTTATTTCTTTTTTCAGAGATAATCACCCATGTTGGAGTGCAGTGGCACAATCACAGCTCACTACAACCTTGACCTTCTGGGTTCAAGCAGTCCTGTTGCCTCAGCCTTAGAAGTAGCTGGGATCACAAGTGCACTCCACCACACCTGGCTAATATTTTGGTTTTCTTGTAGAGACAAGGTCTTACTACATTGCCCACACTGGTCTCAGACTCCTCAACTCAAGCTACCCTCCTGTCACATGAGCCATTGCGCCCAGCCTCTGATTTTTACATTCTCAAAATTTTTCTTTACTTCCCTTTTTTTTGTTGTTTTTTTGTTTGTGGGTTTTTTTTGGTTTTTTTTGTTGTTGTTTTTTTTTTTGTTTGTGTTTTTTTGCAATCATGTCTCACCCAGTCATCCAGGCTGGAGTGCAGTAGTAAGATCTTGGAGGAGCCTTGACCTCCTGGGCTCAAGCAATCCTCCCACAACAGCCTCCCAAGTAGCTGGGACCACAGGTGTGTGCCACCATGCCTGGCTAATATTTTGTATTTTTTGTAGAGTAGGGGTTTTGCCATGTTGTCCAGGCTGGTCTCAAACTCCTGAGCTCAAGTACTCTGCCTGCCTCAGTCTCCCAAAGTGCTGGAATTCCAATATTGAACCACCACACCTGCTATGTTTAAACTTTTAACTCAGTATGTTTAGCAGTTACTATAATGTATACATTAAGGGCTATTCATATAATATTTTGATTCAAGAAACAGGTTATGACTGTATACATATCCTTCCAATAATAAAGGATATTCTGAGTTAAAACTCAAGTATATTTCCAAGTTTCCTAAATTGTTATAGGATTTTACTTTTTCTTTTATTCCAAGAGCAGTGGCATACTGTAATGAGGTATAATTATTGTAGGATATTTTCTAGTCTCATGGTATGCAGCCACCACAAACAACTAAAGGCATGAAAACTTGTATTATTTTATATCTTCCTATTATGCATATGCCATCTTTCTGAACTAGTGGTTTTGGCAGGATTTAGGAAAACTTTACAAATGGCACTACTATATAGGCAGTTCAATATGTTATTACATATTTTAGTGGAGTTATGCAGATATTTGCTCATTTTGTTGATCTGTTGGATTCAGCTGCAAGTTTGGTACTTTTTTTATTCTGTATTGCTATTTATAATTGCCTTATGTTGGATGGGCGCGGTGGCTCACGCCTATAATCCCAGCACTTTGGGAGGCCGAGGCGGGTAGATCACAAGGTCAGGAGATAGAAACCATCCTGGCCAACATGGTGAAACCCTGTCTCTACTAAAAATACAAAAATTACCTGGGCATGGTGGTGCACACCTCTAGTCCCAGCTACTCAGGAGGCAGAGGTTGCAGTGAGCTGAGATCCTGGCACTGCACTCCAGCCTGGCAACAGAGCGAGACTCATTCTCAAAAAAAGAAAAAGGCATCATGTTTCTTTGTGGGGCCTAGTACAGTGGCTCATGCCTGTAATCCTAGCACTTTGGGAGGCCGAGGCAGGCAGATCACTTGAGGCCAGGAGTTTGAGACCAGCCTGGCCAACATAATGAAACCTGTCTCTACTAAAAATACAAAAATTAACCAGGCATAGTGTACAGTCCTGTAATCCCAGCTAGTTGGGAGATGGAGGCAGGAGAATCACTTGAACCCAGGAAGCAGAGGTTGCAGGGAGTCAGGATCGCACCAGGCAACACAGCAAGCAAGACCCTGTCTCAAAAAAAAAAAAAAAAAAAATTGGCCAGGCGGAGTGGCTCATGACTGTAATCCCAGTACTTTGGGAGGTCAAGGCAGCCAGATCACAAGGTCAGGAGATGGAGATCATCCTGGCCAACATGGTGAAACCCCATCTCTACTAAAATACAAAAAAAAAAAAAAAAAATTAGGCTTGATAGTGCACGCCTGTAGTCCCAGCTACTCGGGAGGCTGAGGCAAGGGTAATCTCTTGAACCCAGGAGGCAGAGGTTGCACTGAGCCGAGATTTAGCCACTGCACTCCAGCCTGGCAGCAGAGCGAGGCTCAAAAAAACATTGCATTATGTTTCTTTGCTTTGTGAATTAAGCTATCGATATGAAGAAAAATATCCTTTGATTGTTTTGTGTTTTAGGATTTTCATGGCCATGCTTGTCAGTTCTGTTGTTACAGAATGTCACCCTTACTTACTTTGGGAAGTGGTAATTAATTAACATTGCAGGTGTCAAAGTATATTTTCTCCCTCTTATTTTTCAGCTATACTGAATTCTGTTGAAACCATTCAAAGCTAAAGACTTGGACCTTCAGCAGTGTAAGAAGATATTGTACAGTATATTTTAAATCTATGAAATTCATAGTTCTGATGCTTCTGGTCACAGAGCATCATTTTATCACCTCTGGAAAATGTTTATTCCAAAACAGCTTTAATGGCCCATATGTACACTCCGTAATCTCAAGGTTATTATTCTGACACCAGCTTGCTGCTATGATTTCAGAGCACATAAGTAAAGGTGCTTTTCAATGTGCAGTCTATTGCCAGAGCTTACTTAGTTGCTGATTTCCAGATTTCGATGTTTCTTAAGTCTAGGTGAATTTATATATTTTTTTTGCTTTTTAGTTTCTAAAGTTAGTTATTATTTCCAATGAAGCTTGTTTTCCTTTTTTTTTCTTCTTCTTCTTCCCATTTTGGCTACTGCAGTGCTTTTGTTTCACACTTGATTTGTAAAAATTTTATATATATATATATATATATATATATGTTTAAAATGTGCCATTTTATTGCTAAGTGAAGTATGTCCTGTTTTCTGCTATAATTCTTTCTCGGTCAGATTGCAATGTCAGCAGTTACTGCCACACTCCTGTCAGCTTAAACACAAATGTTACCGCTTATCTTTTCTTAAAAAAAAAAAAAAAAAAAAACAATTAAAAGTGTAGGTATTTTGAAGTACTGGGCTTATACTTCATTGGAATACATGTGTACAGCAATAAGCAGGTTTTCAAATCCAGTACTTAGTTTGTGTACAAATGTAATTATGTTCATTGTGTATATATTATACAATGAGCACATGTAATGTATTAAAGGCTACTTACTATTGTTTAAATGCAAATGTTCATATTTCATTTCTTTTTTATCATGTTAAATAAATGTTGATGTTCTTAAATTAGTTGCGTTAAAATTTTTGTTCTTTCTATCCAAAATTGAAAGGCTAAGACTCAAGAGACTTCTAGAAGAAAAGGTACTCTGTTAATATTATAATCCTAGACAACATCATAAAAGACCCTTGTCAGTCCAACCCTCCCATGTCAAAGTTGAGGACCTTGAGGCTCAAAGAGATCAGTTGACTTGGCCACAATTTAATGACAGAATTTTGACCAGAGTATAGTTTTTCTGACTTTTTCTCTAAGTACATTAGCTCATCATCGCTAGAGGATTTAGTTTTGTGAAGTCTTCTACCATGTTTCTATTTGTTCCCATGCTTTAGAAAGTGACTTCAAGCATCAGCAGTCCTGCTCTGCTTAGAGATTGGACTTCGAGGGGTATGTAAGGCAGCTATTTCTCTGACATGGGTAGCTAGAAACCGTTCCATCATTAAGTAGGATCCTTAGAGATCATTTTCTCTTACAATACATTCTTTGCAGATGTTCACGCTCTTCAGAATCAATTACGTTTTCTTCCCTCTGTAACCTTTTGTTCATGCTATATATTGTTCCCAGGGTACACGGAAATTTGATGCTTTTGGATTCCTGCATGAAGTGGCTGAAACTAAATTGGCATTAGTCAGTCTTTCTTTCCTCCCATGCTATATTAAAGGGGATTTAGATTTAATTCAAAATGCTGATGTATAAAAATTCTTCTCCAAACAGGAACACACAAAATGAAATGCAAATAGATACAATGTATATCAGGAAATGAAGGAAACAGAAGTTAAAATGGACACCTGTGTCCATGTACAAATAATATGTTTACTACTACCTTTCTCTAAAGATGTCACAAAAAATCTTCTCAAAAGAAACAGTCTGGCTACGCAAGAAAGAAAAAAGAAACAGTCACCTAATTATTATTTCCCTTTAATCATGATAATGATTGTTTCTGATCTTTTGTCAGTGTGTTGGGGAACAGTTGCTATTTACTTGGGTTTTGTTTGGGTCCTTTTTTTTTTTTTTGAGGCAG